TACTCTGTAATAAAATATGCTCCCTACGTCCTATTTAGAGCCCGTTTGGTGGCACAAAAATCGGCTGATTTGGCTGATTCTGCTGAATTTATGAAGTTCTGGCTGGAGTGGCTGCATTGGCTGATTTTGCTAGCTTAAGAAAAAAAAATTTTAAAATATATTTTATAAGAAAATTAAAGAAAAAGTTATATGTGAAAATAGCTAAAATGATCATCTACCGTAACTTCAGCCAATACAGTCAGAAAAGTAACTTCAGCCTTACTTTTTCTGCTTACTACACAATTTAACGCGTGAAAGCAAAATTATGTGTTTGGTGATAAAGTTGCCTGATAATCCTGATAAGCCGAAAAACAGTGTTGCCAAACGGCCTCTTAAAATGACATTGGTTGTTTGACACTATTTTTATATTGTTTGATTAAAATGACATTGGCTGTTTGACACTATTTTAATATTGTTTGACACTGTTTTGTACCGAAAATAAGAAAAGGGAACTTTAAATGGAGATGGAGTATAGTAAATTAACATTTCAAAAATATATACTAAAACAAACTATTCAATACGTAGTAGTTCTTAATGTTATAAAGTACTCCGTAATACGGAATGTAACCGTTAAGATAATTAACACACAAGGTTAGTAAGAGCCCGTTTCGTAGCACGAAAATCGGCTGTTTTGGCTGATTCTGCTGAAATTTATGAAGTTCTGGCTGAGGTGGCTGCATTGACTGATTCTGCTGATTTAAGAAAAAATTATTTTTAAAATATATTTTATTAATGGAATAAAGAAAAAATTATATGTAAAATAGCTAAAATAGTCATCTACAGTAACTTCAACCAATACAGCCAGAAAAGTAACTTTGACCTTACTTTTTCTGCTTATTACACAATTCAGCGCGCGAAAGCAAAAGTTACGTGTTTAATAAAAAAGTTGGCTGCTAAGCCTCATAAGCCGAAAAAGAAGGTTGACAAACGGCCTCTAAAACCTGACCGTAAAAGTCAAAATATGAACTTAGTTGTGGGACAGAATTACAAACACAAGACATCAATCACGTTAAATATTGACTTTGATGCTACACGCTTACAAGCCTACACCAATGACCTCTAATCTAATGGATTGAACTATTAAAGAGAGGTATTAGAAATATTGTGGCAAGAAATATAGCGAGTCCAAACTCTTGAGAAACCTTTGATGAAACAATTAATATGATAGTGCGGAAGAGTGGTGTAGGTAGTCATGGACCCGGGCCGTGCCGGTTCCGGTTCCGGGCCGGTTCCGGTTCCGGGCCGGGCCCGGCCGGGCTTTTTTTTGGGAAGGAAGGCCCGGGACCGGCCCGGGTAGCCACCGGGTCCAGTCCGGGCCGGGCCGAGCCTCCGGTTTGGTTAATTTTTTTTTATATTTTTTTTTGCTTTCCTAACCCCCCCCCCTCACCCCCTCACCCCCCCCCCACCCCCCCCCCCACCCCCAAACCCCTCCTAACCATCAAGCCCAACCCGGGTCTACCCCAAAAATGAAAAAAAAATCAATTAGGCCCGGACCCGGGCCCGACCCGGCCGGGCCGGTTCGCCAAATACAAGGCCCGAGCCCGGACCCGCCCCCCACCGGGCCTACACCCAACCCGGACCCGGACCCGAGAACCGGGCCGGTTCCGGTCCCGCACAGTGGCGGGCCGGGCCGGTCCCGGGCCGGGCGGCCCGAACCGGGTCCATGCCTAGGTGTAGGTGGCCGGAAAGTGACAATTAGATTGAAGTGGGCGGGGTTTGTCTTATGAAGGATGGCTTAGGCCTCCCCTTCAACACCTAAGTATTTCGTTCGTTTTTAATTACAACGGTCAACTTCTCACGTTTGTGAACACACAAGTTTGACCATTAATATCTTTCATTCCTTAGTAGTAAAAAATTAAAAATTAAAATCGATTTTGAAAATCTAGAAGGAGTTTAGCAACATAGCATGACATGCGCAGTAGTGTGCCATCCTGATAGGTATACAGATTTTGTAACAGTAAACTATCGATTTTATTGAGGTGAAACGCAGAAAGAAGAAGAAATACAGACGTGGGCACTTCGAGAGGCCTCGACTCTCCCAGAACGGCAGAACCTGAATTCCCAAATTCTAAAATCTGCCTCCTCCTTCCTCCCCTCCTTCCTTCTCTTTTAGTACTTCTATTCTAACGGGCCAGCCCATATTATATGACATGGCCCAGAATACATATTTAAACAATACCATACTTATTTAGTATCAATCTATTATTATTATTATTATTATTATTATTATTATTATTATTATTATTATTATTATTATTATTATTATTATTATTATTATTATTATTATTATTATTATTATTATTATTATTATTATTATTATTATTATTATTATTATTATTATTCTCTACCTTGTCCTCAAGGTGGGTGATATGACACAGCCTTGATCTTGAACTTCATCTTCATCCTGGAGCCTCTTCCTTCCCAATACCTTACTGCTTTCTGGATCCATAGCTTCCTGATTTGAACCTTCAACTTCACTCCTTCCATAACCAGAAAGAGCATAGCAAGAAAAAGCAAAGGCAAGGACTTCTTTGCATCCTGCTGCACAATATTGCAGAGGTTAAAATCTTCCAGCAACTGCATCTTTGGCCCACCTCCCAACCACTTCATGCCTAAATTTGCAACTATAATTGCCTGAAATTCATTTTGAACCAAGTGTGGTTGGACTCTTCTGATTACTGCATCCTCGGGATCATCTGCACCTCCTTGATTGATACAGAGAGTATCATAAGTCGCATAACAAACATAAAAAAATTGTCAAACATTCCACATTTTGCACCTCCAGGATGTAGTCATTCTCTTTGAACATATACAGCCACCCTCTCAGGCCATGTGCAACTCCACAACACTCAACGTTGTTGCAACCAGATTTCAGAGTAATTAACGGCCAATGCACCAAAGCTGGTAAATTTTCTTCTCTCATTCCCCATATAAGAGAGCCCATATCTCTTGCAGCAACAGAATTAACCTCCAGAGTGGGATATTGAGGAACTTCAGGTGCAAATCTACCTTTAAACAGCCCTCTACTTGTGTCAGGATCTCCATATGTATTTACCTCAAATACACAGTAGTGCAACCCCCTGCCTACATAATGTATCCCTCCTTGATTTGCTAGCTCGTATATCACAATAGCTTTATCTGTCAAACCCATGTGTGCCTCATAATTTACATATTTCTTCCAGTAAACCAAAAATGCATACTTCTTCATAACGTTCCCCTCTTCTACCTTCTCAGTTTCCTCTGCAGCTTCAGCAACTGTCTCTTCAAGCAAAGCAGGCTTTGAAAGTGAGCTGGCAGTGGCCTAAACATTTTCTGCGCCTTCCGGATTATCTGGTGGGCGTCCCGTGGGTTGAATATCATCATTCTTCGTCTCCATAAACGTGTAATGAATGCCATAGATAGCAGAGAATGTGGTACTTGCAATCAACTCCTTAGAACCTTCATCATTAGGCACTCTAGGAGCAGCTTGTCCCGACTTCAGAGAAACGATTGCAAATGAGAATATACCAATTCCTGTCCCGGCTAGTAAAGATTGTGGTTGATACATTAAAGGATTGAGCCCAGTTAGAGAGACAAACACATCAGACCCAGTAGTCATCACAGCATGATCTGATTTCCACGCTAGTACATGAATCCTCTTTCCCTGAGTTTTATCTGTGACTTTTCCATGCTCCTCTAATTCCCTTGACCGTTGATCCTTCACTTTGCACGCACGAATACCATCTGTATCCACCTGAGGGTTTTTTGAACCTTCATGATGATTTGGATCATCATCTGGATATGGTTTCATGATAGATGGTTCGGCCGGCTTCAACTTAGAGTTCATTGCGGGAGATGAAACTTGAACACTGTTAGAAGAGGTGGGAGATGAAACCTGTGAACAAGATAGATTTGGTTGAGGTGACGCCGGTAAAGTTGAGAACGACAAAGCTTGCAAATAGGAAGATTCTGCTCGTGATAGCATCTCACTCTGACTCGAATTGGTACTAAATGAGGATGCTTGCGGGGGACTGAAAGAAGCCTGAGAGCTGGAAGCTACTGTTTGCGACGAAGCCAGGTAACTGGAAGAAAGGGCTTGCGAGACCTGCGCACAAGACGAAGTCTGCGAGCTAGGCAAAACTTTTCGCGATTGCAGAAATTTCTGCAAACTGATGAGGTAGCCGACTTGCGATGATGATCTATTTTGGTGAATCCAGGATACAAACAACTTTGGATCAAAGTTTTCGGATAAGAGATTCAACCTCTCTTCTGAAGTCGTCGGACGGTTAGAGTGTCGCACGTGGTGTCTAGGTTGAGATCGAAACTGCTCAATCCACGCGGCCAAGGTTGTCGCCATGTTTTCAACCATCATTTTAAAGTCGGTAACAATCCTCTCCATTTCTGGTTTATAAAATTCTTCCATAGCTTCAGGTAGTTTCAATTCTCGATCGGTATTGATCGTTTGCCGTCAGGAAGCCAGTGCTCTGATACCAATGATAGGTATACAGATTTTGTTACAGTAAACTATCGATTTTATTGAGGTGAAACGCAGAAAGAAGAAGAAATACAGACGCGGGCACTTCGAGAGGCCTCGACTCTCCCAGAACCTGAATTCCCAAATTCTAAAATCGGCCTCCTCCTTACTCCCCTTCTTCCCTCTCTTATGCTCTGTTTGGATAAAGTGAAGTTAAGTAAACCTAGTGCAATAAAGTAAACCTAAGTTTTAATAAAAACTAGGTTAACCTAAGTGAATCTAAGTCCATACGTAAAATAGTGTTTGAAAATATACAAGGTGAACCTAGGTTAATGTAACAAATGTTGTTTCGATGAAGATACTCTAGCTCATTTTATGTTAAATGAGAACTTAACCTCCAAAACCCCCCGATTCAGAGGTTCTTTAATTTAAGGTTCTTCCAGGTTCTCGAGAGTTAAGTGAGGTTAACACATAACCTAGGTTCTTGTTGCAAAAATACAAACAAACGGGATTAACTAGAAATTGAACCTTCAATAACCTAGGTTAACCCCCAAACAAACAGGCCAACTTCTATTCTAACGGGCCAGCCCATATTATATGACATGGCCCAGAATACATATTTAAACAATACCATACTTATTTAATATCAATCTATCACTATTATTATTATTATTATTATTATTCTCTACAGCCCAGGGCCCTATCATATCCTTTAGCTAAACATGACATACACACTATACAGTATAATTGTTACCCATTTCCCAAGCAATGTATCTTGTTGCTAAATAGATAATAGAGACAGGGAAAAGGATACCTACCTATGTATAAACCACCATACCTAGTATTCATTGAAATGAATGGCACCCATTTTCCAAACAACGTAAGTTGTCGCAAACATAAGCGTGCTGATAAAGACAAACGAAAACACAATAAGGAACACATCAGATCCTCCTGGAAAGTCAAAAGTCAACCCCGCTTTCGGAAGCCCGCGTTTGCTATCATCTAACATGTTATTAGGTGCCGCTGGAAGGCCTTTCTTCTTCCCCTTTTCAGACTCACGTAAAACGTCAAACAGTTGGTTTCCCACCTTTGGTTTAGAGGCGGTGTTTGGTTCATTGTAACGGTTGAGAACACGAGCAGCCCTTAGCTTTTCTCTGGCTGTTAGAGATGACCTTCTAAATGACGGTTTGGCAATATCAGAAGATGCGTCCTCTTCCATCTTGGTGGCTCTTGGTTTCTCATCCCCAGATGAATGATCGCTATTTGCAACTAAGGGATTTAAATTCCACTTATTTTCCTTTTCCTCCTTACCAAACCACACCTTATGTGAGGGACAAGTAAAGGGGAGAGACTTATGGACAGATATTCGCTTTACCTGCATCTTTCAATTGGCCAAGGAACAACTTAATAAGAAATTCAGAACCATAGAGACCATATAACAGACTTAAATTTTTATAAAACCAACACTAATATGCAACATACTCTCCTCCTGATTATGGCTCTGCGTGGTAGCCAGCTTTGTGTTATAATGCACAATGCATGTAGTCTAGTGTAAGGTAAAATATGACAAATGTCAAATAAATAAAAGGCTTTCTAATCTAAATAAAATAAAGTGGACTAACTAGACGTCAAAATATAAAAAAACCGACAATGCACGTAGTGTTAAGGTTCAATTAATTGTCTAGGTGGATATTAGGGAGTATTATATTAATATTAATTAAATCAATAATAAACCATACATATATTGAATAAACGGCAGCCCTGTTTCGTATTCATATTTCAATACGGAAACAATTAAATTCCGGGGAGGTTACCTAGGAGAATGACGGTTATTGAATAAACTTATGCATAGTAAATTGGTGAGTCAGCATATTCTACACTCGGAAATTCCTCTTTAGCCTTTCTACACTCGGAAATTCATCTTGACAGTGTGCAACCATTTTTTTGCCAACTCAGCAATATTAAATGAGAGACTACACACATTGGAGAGACTTTAAGGTATACAATGTCTAATTTTATGAGGTGGCATATTTTATCCTACACTAGGCTACATGCATTGGGATGAGTTGGCATATTTTATCCTACACTAGGCTCCTTAGTAGCACAATAAGGAGCTTTCAGGCTTGCTTATTGTGATGAAATAGATACAGTTATGATTTCTTTCCAAATACTCACATTCAACCAATTCACTAGCCTTAGCTGCTATTAACTTCAAGAATCATTTGGCCCAACGAATATGAGATTACTCTAAGTAATAGGATTATTATCAGTGAGGGATTGTAAAATTCCACATAATACATGAGATTAGCTCAAGTTGTTTGGTTTACATGTAAAGTTATCAATGATAAAATGGGAATAGTCTAAAATACTGCCAAGGCATTCAGCTGCTCAGCTGCTGACACGGAAAAAAGATGGAGGTAATGTCATGGTGTTTCTTTACTTTAAAAATATCCGAACATGTAGCAAAGTTACATCAGTATTCATTACCGAGGGAATCAATGACCTGAACCAAACCAGCAGCATTGTGAACCAAAGAATTTGGGCAAACCTAATGCAGCATTATGTACTAGGGAAGGTGTATACTTTCTTTTAACAACATATATTAAATTTTTACTGATAATTTACAAGATGAGAGGCTCTGATTGAAAGGGAGGGCTAAAAGCTTCCGATTCCGGTCTTATGGATTGTAGTTTTTTGATCTGGAATGGTATGGTCTTTTTAAGTCTGGTAATTTTAAGTCTGGTCAGATAGATGTTTGTACTATATGTATTTTACAACTGTCGATGTCTGGTCTGATCTGATGGTTCATTTGAGTGTGGTCTAGGACCGAAATCGGTCTAATTAAAAACATCCTAAGTAAGAATGTTTTTAATTGGACATTTCTTAATTGAAGGATGTTTTCAATTGGAATGGTTTCAATCCTAGAACAATTCAAAAATTAATTAACTAGACCAGATTAGACTTAAATAGATCACATTAGACTAGACTAGACTTAAACAAAAGTAAAATTTAAGAACAATTATAAACACTTAAGTGCATCCCCAACACTATAAACATTTAAAATTCACGTCCTGCAAATCCGAAAATAATTACACTCGTATCTAACTAGCAATCGATTATCATATTTTGAAGATATATAAGCATAGGATAAGTTGAGATTTAAGAATAATCAAATTCACTACGAATCGCTTTTTCTTACCTGAAAAATCAATTCATTTCATGTGAGACAAACACCAAAAACTAGATAGATTACCAGAAGATTAAATTCATGTTTTCCTTTTTAAGAAGAACGGCAAGAAACATGTAAAGGATGGTGAACATGCATACGATTGGGCTGAAACTCAGAGCGGAAATCAATGAAACAGCCATGGCGGACCTCTCTGCCTTGTGCGACGGCGTAGAGCCTAACTTCTTTCCCTTGTGTAGACTGTAGCCTGATCCATCAAACCGTGAGGGTAACAGCGAGAGCTTTGGAGGACTGCGATATTGTTAGAGAAATGAGCGGCGTTGAGATTTGAGAAGACGCATATCTTATCCAAAGATTTACTTGCAATAGTTTTTTTTTTAAAGTTATAGCATTATTGTAGGAGCTGTTTCTAAGTGCTTCTGCTTAAAAAAACACTTTTGGAGAGGTAAGGAAAAAGTGATTAGTAGTAAAAGTTGATAGTGTTTGAGAAAAGAGTGATTTTGAAAAGTAAAAGTTGGTAGTGTTTGGTAAAATAAGTGTTTTTTGTGTAATAGAAAAGGGAAAAACACTTTTCACACGCAAGCCGAAAAAAAATAAAAATTGATAGTGTTTGGTAAATAAGTGTTTTTTAAACCAAAAACTAAGAAGTGCTTTTTTTAAGCGGTTGCAAACATCCCTTCTAGTAGGCAAAAGAGCTGCTGAATTACGTACTACGTAGCCCGTAGACTACTTAACTGTAACGTCTGTAAGTGTTCAACATTGTATTTTCATTTTCAAAATCTTAGGTTCGACTAAAATACGATAAAATCCGAAAATATGACTACCAATCTTTTATTATCAAAATAAGGATGCCTCTTTTCAGAATGTTTTTAGTTGTAAACTAGATCAGATTAAATCAAACTTAAACAGATCAAATCAGATCAGATTTAAACATACTAGACTAGAACAGAAAGAATATAATTGGACAGTTATAAAATGCACAGAGACCAGAGATTTAACAGACCAGACCATATCTGACCAAATCAGACCAACAAATTTCAGTCCAAAAGAGAACAACCTAAGACTCATTTACTCCTATTTTTTGAAAGTTTAATCAAGTTATTTTTTAATAAGACTAGACATTTATATTGTGGGAATAAAATATACTAAATTCGATTTTTGAACTTTGTGTATGTTTTGATCATATATTGAACAATTCCTTTTTCAAATTCTGGCTATTCTCGTCGTTTAAGGAAAAAATAGCTCAAAAATTGAAGTGAACTAATCCTTACAAATTAGACTAATATTTGTCTTTTCAAAATAGAAATAAAGTATAATATATCTTCTTAATCTACCTTCACCATATTTTAATAATAAAATCATATTCCTATTTGTTATAAAAACATAAAAATAATACCGGGATCTAAAGTCATAGGTGAGAGGCCAAACCTAATAGCCAATACGGCTAGTAAAAAAACCTAGCGGAAGTGTGCAGCTCGTCTGCAGAGTAGAGCTTGGTGCAGTGAAGTTTCTTTGTCAGTGATTTAGAGTTTTTAGGGATTCATTTCTCTCGACTTCAACGGGAAGACATGAGATAGAAGGTGAGAAGTTGAGGATGATGCAGACCCTGGCCGGAGGTCTAGTTTCAACCGCAAAAAGTCGTGGTGTCGTGACTCGGACAACGGCAAGCAGCGGCTTAAGCACGTACGAGGGGCGGCGATGGTTGGGGAGTGACGGGTTTGGCGAAGATCTGAGTTCGCCCGTCAATGGAGGATCAATCACAACGGTATTGATGGTTCGGCCTCCTCCTGAACCACCGCCATGGAATGAATGAGGTGTTAAGGTTCGAGAAATTTATCTTACGTAGTACTCCCTCCGTCCCAATATAAAAGGCACACTTTCTTTTTTGGGCCGTCCCAATACAAAAAGCACATTTCCCTTTTTGGCAAACAAAACAGTGCAAAACAGTGTCAAACAGTGTCCAAACATTATCAAACAGTGCTAAACAGTGTTTCTCCTAAAAATTGTGTGAAAACGCAAATGTGCTCTTTATATTGGGACAAAGGGAGTATTACTTATTGTTATTTTGTTGTTTGAATTCTTGTTAAATTCTATGTTGCTAGGTCTGCTAGGATGATTAAAAGTTTAGCTTATTTTTATGTTGTTAGAAGTATATGAATACATAAGACTAGTGGTAGTTGTGTGAACCCATTTCGTGGTTAGCAATTCATGTTGCTCTTTCAGGAATGACTATTTCAACGTCTAATCGTAGGATTTATAGTCGTAATTAATTGGTGGATGTTAGATGGTGTAAGTTATGGTTTTTCTTTGATTGATTGATGTAGTGCTCTTGAAACTAATGATATAAACATAAGCAGTTTCCTTTAAAAAACATAAAATTAATTTAAAAAAATTAATTCATAGCAAAATCATAAAATAAAAAATGAATTATAAAAATTAAGAAAAACTAAGAAAAAACAACAACAAATGAAACACAATAAAATAAGGAAACCTTTCCAGCCGCATTTGTCACCTTTCAACATTGCCACCTCCTGTCAATGAAAAAATGCCATCTTGAGAAAACTAATTGGTTAGATTATAGAACCAGTAAAGGAAGCTACACGATCAAAGTAGTTCAAAATGCACTATATTCCAGATTTTATGTAATCCGAAATCAAATAATTGGTCAGATTATTATGGCCTTTTTTATAAATATTACTAAAATAAATACAAAAGACAAAAACATCACATGTTTTAAAATAACATGTTTTAAAGTTTTTCAAAAAAATGACTTCCATATTATTATGCCAATTATTTAATATTGTACTTGGTATTTATTATTGTGACATTCCTTTTTATATTAGTCAAAACATGTTATCTATCACCCCCAACAACCGCTACCACAAGTGGGTGCTGCCACCGTAGTGACCATGAATCACTAAATTACATTTCAAAGTACTCTTTAGCTCAGACGCTCAATAGTAACTCACTAACTCATGTGACTCTACCACTGATCACTAATGTCGGTCATTTCAGAGGCATAGTCACTCGAACTTTTGTCACCATAAAAATTCATTATAAACTTCACTAGTAACCATGTCAATGATAGTAACGTGATCGTCACTAGACAGTGTTACAAATAGCGGATCACCTCTATCACAAACCCTAGACACTAACCACTTCCACCACAACCCACTTACTCATTGTTGTTGATTGTTCCTAAGATGATTTTCCTAGGTACGATGAAAAAGTGAAAAACTCAAGAAAAAGGACTAATGTGAATGCTCAATTTCTAATATTAGAAATTGATTTCATAATTCATACAATGAGTTTGAAACTTTGAACACAATATGGGACTACCTCACTCCTACAAAATAGGGCTGGATGGGCCAGGCCTAAGCCCGGGCGGGCCGCCGGTTCTGAATAGTTGGGCCTGGGACCGGCCCAAGTAGCTACTGCGTCCGGGCCGGGCCTTGGGTTTGGTTTTTTTTGCTTTCCTAAGTATCACTGACCCCCCTCCATCGTCACCCCCCCCCCCAAACCCCTCCTAAACATCAAGCCCAACCCGGGTGGAACCCAAAAAAATTAATAAAAAAAAACCATTTGGTCAGAACCTGGCCCGGCCGGGCCCCCTTTTCACTGACCCGAGCCCGCCCCGCTTTTGAAAGATAACCGGGCCTTGGACCAGTTTGGGGCCCGCAGGATCGGGCCGGTCCGGTCCTGCACAGCAGCGGGCCGGTTCCCGGGCCGGGTGGCCCGAACCGAGTCCAGGACTACTACAAAAGAAGTCTCTTCATTTTCCTCTGGTAAAATGCCTCTTTACAAGTGCCATACCAATCTTTGCAAAAAAGTATGTCTTCTGCTGGTTTTACACAATGCTATATCAATGAGAATTCTTTTAGAGTAAAATGCATAAATGGTCCCTAAACTATCAGCATCATATCATTTTGGTCCTTAAACTATTAAATATATCATTTTAGTCCTTAATCTATTTGATCCATATTAATCAAGTCCTTCCGTTAATTCTTTCCATTTAAATTGACGGTAGAGCAAATGTGATATCCTAATTTTACACAACATGGAACTACACAAATATTAGTAATTTTTTAGTAGCTAATCTAGTTTCAGAATATTACATCATAATATCTTTATTTTCATGTGTCCAAATGAAATTTGATTTTTTTACGTTTCTATTTTTCCACTATTATATTTATATTTATTTCATTTTTAATGTGTTATTTATACATTGTAACTATTAATTAAATACTTACAGAATTTTTAATTATTGCGGTTTATAGAGTTATTAAATGCTTCACTAATCAAGACAATTTTTTTTTTCATCTCTTTGACTCTAAACAGTTTTTTTATGTGATTTTCTACCATACTCTCTGTATCTACAAAGGTATGTACATAATCATTAATTGTTACGGAGTAGTATTTATGAAGTTATTACATGTTTCATAAATTAACAAAATATTTTTTCATTTCTTTGGACTCTATATAGTTTTTTTATTTTGTTTTCCACCATATTCTCATTGCATATGCAAAAATAAAGATTAGTAAAACTCCCAAACTTAAGTACTTAACGTGTTATGTATGCAACCAAGTATTCCAGCCCAACTGGTTGTGAGGTTATCATGCCTAGTGGAAAGTTTCGAGTTCGAATCCCGCTAGGCACGTAAGGGTTTTAATGGAATGAGTTTCAACCCTTATTATTCCAGGTCCCCTCCCCCCAGACCCCTTGGAGTAAAAAAACGTGTTATGTATGAATGAGATGAAAACTTTAGTTTTAGTTGCATAGTAGGAAAATCTTATTGCATAGTGGTAATATTTATACGTAGTATTTAACAAGGAAAATTCCTAAATTAATGTGATTAATAAAAAATTTATTTGAATTAGATCAATATACTATAATAGCTTCATAAATACATTTTTAATTAGAGTATCTACTGACGTAATATTCATTATTATTATATCATAGATGAATGAATAAGTGATTATACACACACATATTTAAAGACTCCGAAATTTTTATAAACAATATCTAGTATGTTATACTTAGGGGTGGGCAAAAATACCGAAATATCGGTATACCGCACTTACCGTACTGAAAAATACCGGAAAATACCGAAATATTGGTATACCGTCATTTTCGGTACGGTATCATACCGTACCGATCTATTTCGGTACGGTAACGGTAAATGTTTTCAAATACCGCGGTATACCGGTATAATACCGTACCGACTCCCTACTCAACAATTACTTTTAATTCTAATACTTCCTCCGTTCTATAATTCTTGCAACATTGTGATTTTTACACTATTCACAGATCATACTTTGACCATGATTTTCTACTAATATACATAATCAAATTATTATGTATAAAATGTTATTGAACTCTTATCAATGTGAAATTCCAAAATATCAACTTTTTATAATGTTTACTAATACATAATTAAATATAATTACAATCAAAATTGTGCATTGGCAAACGTGAAAGTCAAACTGTTGCAAGAATTATAGAACGGAGGATAGTATATTGTAGAAATCCATTACAATTTTGAAGCCCAAAATTAATACTTTTTTTTTTCGAGGGTCCAAAATTAATACTTAAGTTGGTTACAAATACAAAAATACAAAAATAAAGGCCCAATTTCTCAAACCCACTATAACCTTATAGGATTCTACTACGCTAACCTTAGTGACTAATGACTAATGTGCAAATGTCAAGAAACAAGTCCATCTTGTTCCAAGATCTTGCAAGTCGTGATGGTTGAGCCGCTAAGTAGCTGACAAGTGAAGAGAGATACACTTATGTGACAAGTGTATCTACATAGGGATTCCGCGAGTCGAGACACACGACTTTATCCGAAAGTCTTATTCAAATTTTAAAAAATTATAAAAATGACTAAATACCAATATCATATTAGAAATAAATGATTTTATATCCATGTTGTTTGAATAGTTTTATTTATTTTTGTTAGAGATCACTATTGATTTAATTATATCTATATTGTTCAAGTTATTTTAGGAGAATGTGTTACTTTTTAATATGCGGAATGTTGAACTGCTTAAATATACTAATAATAATAATTATTATTGTTCAATATTGAATTGACATCAATAGATTATTAATTGTATTTCGTAACATTTTAATAATAGATTTAACATGTCACTAGTAATAACGATTTAGTATATTTCGTTAGTCTATGATAATTTTTTGTATTGGGAGACATGCACGGTAATTTACCGATACCGTACCGTTACCGAACCGAAACTTCGGTATACCGAAATGCGGTATACCGAAATATCGGTAAGGTAAAGGTATGCAAATTTTGCATACCGAAAGTTTTGGTACGGTAAAGGTATGAGAAAAAATATAAGGTATACCGTACCGAACCACCCCTAGTTATACTTTAATTGAAAACTTGAACAATATTAATTCGTATAAGGAATATGTATGTAAGGATGTTTTTAATTGGACTCTTTTTAGTCCCAGACCAGATCAGACTAAACAAGACTTGGACAATTATAAAATACACAGAGACCAGACGTTTACCAGACCAAACCACTTTCTACCAGACTAGATCAGACCAGAAAATTTCAGTCCAAATAAAAACATCCAATGCGTTATATTATGATTTGATAGTGATTTTCATTCTAATTTATTTAGATATTAAATCAGGAAATATATAAATTATATTTTGTCTAATAAGTATGTTGATTTACACATACATGCACTAACAGAATGACCAAATTAATATAGATTAAATAGATTAGGGACTAAAATGGTAGAATTATTAGTTCAAGAACCAAAACGATATGATGCTGATAGTTTAAGGACTATTTATGCATTTTACTCTTTCTTTTATCTATGATTTCCTTTTGAGTTGTGACTATGAAAAGGTGTAGAATGTATTGCAATAAGATTATAAGAAGTAGGGATAAGGGTCAGATAGGGCCTCGAACTTGAAAAAAAATGTCAAATAAGGCCATATTTAGGATGCTCTGTCCGGCCGATGCCATTTGGGGCGGTTCCCGGTGGAATTTTTTGATGAAATTTTTTGAGAATCTTATTCATTACGTCTAGTTTACTCATATCAAAGTTGAACTAAAACTTCAATCGGGAAGGCATTCAAATGAATTTTTGAAAATAACTGTGCATTTAAAAGCGCAGTTATCTTCAAGAATTCATTTGAATGCCTTCCCGATTGAATTTTTAGTTCAAATTTGATATGAGTAAACTAGACTTAATGAATAAGATTCTCAAAAAATTTCATCAACAAATTCCACCGGGAACCGCCCCAAATGGCGTCAGCCGGACATAGCATCCTAAATATGGCCTTATTTGACATTTTTTTCCAAGTTCGAGGCCCTATCTGACCCTTATCCCTAAGAAGTATCAAAACAGATCACTAGGAACCACTCCAGTTTCAATACCAGATTCTGCAACGAAATACTGTACAGTGTACATGGGCGGTCTAGGAACCAACTGGACGGCTGGACCACCGCTATGATGCAGTCATGCAGACATGAATTTGTTAGGCATTACTCATTAGTCGGGGATTAGTTTGGAGAATATATAAAAATCAAACATTCACCGTTTGGAGAATATATAAAAATCAAACATTCACGGCATGCAACAAAAGAGACGTTATATAAAAAAAACTTGATGAATACAAAAAAAAACTCGACGAATACAAAAAAAAAACTCGAGCAAAGGACTCAATGAGTAAATGGGAAAAATCCACATCAGGATTATCGAAGTACAAAGTTGGGGCTAAGAATCAGTAAAGGATAAAAGACACCACATCCTCAGTTTGTTGTAGTCCTAACTGCAAAAAAAATGCCTTCTAAATGAATATTACAAAATATATATATCAACACCACCCTATAGCACAAGCCAGTGATTATTTTTAAAACTAGCCCCCAACTTATCCAAACAGACTACATGCAGGAAATATATAATTCTGGAAAAGGTGAAAAAATCCCAGGAAGTGGCTTCCAACTCCATCCTTGTAATTTTGTTATACAATTTGCATCATGCCTGCGGGTTTAGTATGAACCCATGGGTGGCATGCCAAACGGAGGTGGCATTCCCATACTACCACCCATCTGTGGTGGTGGTGGACCATAATTCATTCCTGGCATAGGTGGCGCAGGTAAGGCAAGCGGCAGTAGCTGAGCATACATATTCTGCAACAGTGTAGGTATACATTTTTAATCAGTTATTTACAAGTTATACAAAGCAAAAAAACAAAAACTAGTGGGCAGGATTAGTACCTGCTGCTTCATAATGTCACTTTCTTCATTTTGTTTTGCCTTTGCTTCCTTTTGAGCCTCAATTTTATCTTTGATTAGTTCATCAACTTTGCCGGTATACTCACGGATGAACTGCAAGAGATATGACCAAAGAGAAAAAGACAGTTGCAAAGGTATTCTCAAGTAATAAAACACAGCACATTACGCAAAATATATACAATTACTTAAAAAATTCTATCAAAGATGAGGGAAGTGCGAGAAAGAGAACGAGAGTCACCTGCAAAAGATAAGGGAAGGCAAAGTCTAACATTTTATTGACCCATGCAAGCTCGAGAACAACATCTGGGCGGATCAAGTCATAACACACGAAAAGGCACGAGGCAAAGCATTCCTTCTTTCCCTGCAATACGCATTGAATACACATGGTTTACATACAACTTTTCAAAATACTATTGCCACTTCTTAAGCCCTAGTGTGGCTTTGTGGGTTTTGAAGAGGCAGGGGGGCAGGGATGATATTTAACTTATTCTTACCTTTAGACGATTGGAAAGAGATAAAAAGACTATATAGCAATACATGTTTATATCACCTCCGTCCCAAAAAAACAAGTGATGTTTATCCAATTTTCCATCATTTGCAATGGAGCCAAAGATTCACTATTTTTTGGCTTGGGAATACGATGGAATAAAGCAAAATGGCTCACCAAACTGTCTGCGCTTCTTTATTATGAAGCAACAGTCAGTCCATGCAATTTTTGACGCGATTTTCACCATGGGTCATCCAGAAACAGTCTCTCTGTGCTTTAGTAGAGGGGTAAGACTGCGTACATCTGACCCCCCTTACCCCACCGTAGGTGGGAGCCTTTGTGGCATTGGGGTAATGATGATGATGCTGACAGCCGTACAACTATAGTAAACCATGAACCACTTTCAGTACAATTACAACTTCAAGTTAATTTGTTTGTTTAGCTAGATTTAATATTTGTAACTACGTAACTTGTTTATGACTCTTTTGTAGAAGTGTGATATATCTGCTATGGCAGTATTTTGTAATGCAAACAAGTGTTCGAAAAAGGACATAAAACAAATATTGTTCCAATCGGGCTCTCTTTTGGAACAGAAAAAGGGGTTTAATGTGTCAAACCCCCTAATGATATATGAATTTTGTGCATTGGCCCCATGTGATTTGAAAAAAATCGTTAAGACACATAATTTTAAAATTGTTAAGTTTGGCACTTCAGGGGGTATGAGCGTGATTTATTGTAGCACAATGGGATTTGACGAATTTTTTAAAACACAAGGGATGATGTGCATAATCTGTACAAACGAGATTTGGCGCATTAAACCCCAGAAAAAAGTGTTTGCAAAAGGATATCTCTTCCAGGGGCAGATGAGGTTATATTGGTTGTCTAAGTGTCACAAAGACAAATCCATTTGTTAAAATCCTTGTTCCTCTTGCCTTCGTTCTGAAATCCTCTGATCAAACAAGCCTTGAAAATCTTACTTATGAAATGAAGAAAAAGACAACAACTTGGTTACCTGTTCAATGAAATAAACAAGCAACTCCTCAGCAAGTTCACGATCACCAGATTGTGAGGCAGTCTCCATAGCATCTTTGTATAGATTATCTTTCTTGGATAGAGCAATGGATTGCTTCCACCGACCTGCTTTCTTGTATATAGAAGCAGCAACACGCCTCATCTCAAGAAGCTCATGTTTCTCAATCTGATTGCACAGGGAGAAGAGTTTACTTATTTCATGTGCTGAACAGATACATAGATAAGTAGATGATATATATGTATATAACACATAATACATTAAGTTTAAACCACCTTCTGTGCAAGGCCAATTTGATCAAAGCTGTCATGTAATTCAATAGATTCTCGCAGTCTCTCATAGTCTTCCTCCTCTACATATATCTCATTAAGAGCCTCATTAACAGCAGACACATTATTGCTCTGAACAGCAACCATATATGGCTTCACCAGACGCAAGTGACCAGCCTATTTTCAGAGAAGAGAAGCAACAAATACTTTAGATTTATAGTAAAAATATAACCAATTAAAACAACATATATTGCATATATCGTTGTTTAATGCCTCCATTATTTTGATTTGGCAATCTCAATCGCTCTGTGTTAACTTCTACTCCTGGTCCCACAACTATTAGGCCTTTACCATTTTTGGTCCTCAGCTGAACTACTTTCAAATTCAGGTCCTTTTAAGGTCACTTTTGCAATGAGAACCAACCGCAAATTGTACGGGAGATGACCAGATTGTTTGTAGAAAGGATACATAGCGACGGAAGTTTCGTAGTCATACACCAAACGTGGGAATTACAATGGAAGCCGGGAAAAAAAAATGGACCAATTTGAGGAACTGGGTTTGCTAAAGCAGTACTGAGGACTAGAAATACAAGTCACAAGATTATTTAAGCAAAAAAACGTCAGTGGGACAATGGAGTAATAATAGCTGTTACCTTTCTAAGAATGTCCACCACTCGTGTGTGATCAACCTTTAGGGCAAGAACATTTAGTAGATCATTAATCAGATCGGGATGTTCTTGCAAATAGAAGTGAACTGCCTTGTAATACAGCTCTACGTTCGCAACTTTGACGACAATGTCCTTGAACTGCATGTGATCCCAAGCATCTGGGGAATGGTTCATGACAGTGGTCGCAGCATTATCAAATTCATCATATTGGATGTACAGATATGTAAGCTCCTTCCAGTGCTGCTGCTCATCACATGCTCTGATAAGTTTAGGAATGTTAAGACGACTTGAGAACAGCTTGATGTGTTCCATCAACTTCTCGTGCCGGTATCTGGCATATAATACACCAAGCTCAGTGAAGATACCCATATGTGCACGCTCCAATCCTAGCCCGCTCTCCATAAGAGAGATTAATTCATTGAAGCATCCCCGGTTTTGATAGAACTCACTAACTTCTTCTAGGTCATCCACCTGCAATTAATTAATGGAAAAATAAAACAATAAATTATTCATTGAATTAAACTTGTTAATAAAAAATAAAACGGATTTTTGACTCATTCCAAAAGGTGCTTTGTAACAAGGTCCGGAAAGAGTAACATGTATCAGTTGACATAGATTCATCATTGAAATAATAATGCGTATCTATCACAGTAACAAGAGCATACAAAAATACCTGCACAATAATGTTTAGGCCGCAAATCTGAGCCAAGCGGAACTCCTCTGCATCCACACAAGCAAAGCAGACATCTTTCCATGTCTTTGCACTATTCGCTTTACGAGCAGCATCAACGGCACCTTGAAACTGCTTCAACCTTACAAGTGTGCTTGCCAATTTTCCCCAGTTAGAAATAAATGCAAATATTATCTTTGCAGCTTCATATAAACCTTCTTCAAACAACCGATCGCCGACATTTGGCAGATTAGCAACATTGGGCATGAGAATAAATTCTTCAATCTCACCCAGCCTGTCAATCTTGGCATATGCAAAGATAAGCTCACTGTCAACCTTTGGTTCCTTTGTTTTCTGCCTAACCATTAACAGATACTTAACCAAGTCATGGTAAACATCCGCATCCTGAGCAGCAAGGATAACTTCCAGGAATTTTGTGGCATCCTCTGCACGAATGAATGACTCAATGGCATCACTAATCAATCCTTCTCTAAGTTGAGCTTTGGCCACCTGGCTCCACACTGCATCTTCTTCAACACGGAATGCAAACTCTACAGCCCGATTAATGTCTCGAACATGATCTAGAAGAACATTGACAGCCTGGACGTTCAAGTTAAACTTTTTGAAGATTGCAAAAGCTTCTTCATACAGTTGGGCATCAACAGCCACTTCTCCAACTGCAGGGCCATCGAAGTTATCGAGCCTGTTTACGTAGTCCATAACCCTAGAGGGGTCTGCCTTAATGGCAGTCAAGATAAGCAAATTCTGCAAATTGAAGTTCCCGCTGAAAGCAGAGTTTTGGAGTACTATCTTTTCAAGAAGCTCAATCAACTCATGTGGGAGATCAGCAGTCATGAATGCTTTAACTGCTGCTGACACTTGTTCTGGACTCTTGCTTTCAGGCAGAGCAGTAGATACAACTTGATCAATAAGTTGCCTTCTGAATTCATTTTCAGGGTTCAGAACCTTCTCCCAAAGATCACCATCCATCCTTTCTACTACATACCTAAAGAAACAGTCAATTTTAACCATTAAAGACCAGAACTCGTGGGGGGATTCAAATGTCATTGAAACAGGTAAAACCACTTTAGCTAGATTTAAAAGGCAATATCTTGGGACAAACAGAAAAAATAAGTAGGAAGATAATTTTGGGACATAGATAATAATAAACATTGAACCTGGCCTGAAGCTTGAACAAAGAATTTTTGCTAGTCACATGGATAAGCTCATCATCACACTGCCCTCGCCTATATGCAACAACAGCAAGGGTGGGATCACGTTTCTCACAATATTTACCCACAACACGTGAATCATAATATGGGTTGGTTGTTAGGAAGTGCTCTGGGTTGTTGTTGCTGTCAATTATGATTTTACCCAGAGCATTGTGGACATGCACGTCTTGACTTCCTTCACTCACAAGATGCTCCAAAAATTGAGTAAGCAATCGAAGCCGGTTCCTAATTTCACAAGAAGAAAATATAAGAATTTAAACAAAAATGGAAAAATAATGAAGAAAAACATACAAGTATTAAGTATACAACATTACCTTTTCTCACATTCATCAACCAAGGGCTCAACTGGAAGCAGAGAACGGACAGATAGGATCAATCCTTTAATGAAATCTTCAGGGCACTCATCATCCAGAAGCTGCCCAACCACTAAAGGAGCATTCCCTGGATTAACCTGTCCGGTTTCCAAATTTTAAAAACTACAACGGACAGAATTTGAAAGCTCTAGTAAAACCTAAATGTGTTATGAGGAAGTTACCTTTTGGACGTAACCTTCAATGTACCTAAGCATGTTGTTTGTGTACAAGTAGTGAGTGAGGTCTGGAACAAAACCAAAGCGGTCACATACATTAATCAGAGGCCTAGCATCAGGAAGTTTGGCATCCATCAAAAAGTTCTTTGTTTTCTCGGGGTCATAGAAGTTGGACTCTCTTGTTACACGTTCGACTTCCTTAATTTGTCCAGTCTTAGCAGCTGCCTCAATGTACTTATAGTGAATTTCAGGATCCTCACTACATCCAAATACATAAACTATCAAGTAAATAATAGCACTAAATGTGAAATTTTATACAGCGACATAATTCTCATTCCAAAACATGCCTTGAACTCAAGTATGAACCTAGGAAGAAGTATAATCCATCATATGACTTGAATTGCTCAAAAAGTTTTATGCATGCTTCAAGACCCAACTGCTCAGAGTATTCTTTTGCAACCTGCATATATAGCATGTTAATCACTACTATGATCCAATAACAATGTGATATAATAACTTATAATAGGATATCAGTGTATACCTGGACAATTATCTGAAGGTTTCCTTTAAGATTGATCAACAAAAGGTCTTTCATGCACTCTAATGCCCACTCACGTGATAGTGTCCCAAAAAATTCAACAAGAGCCTGTCCAACGAGATAAAGTAAATAGAAGTTCAACAACAGCCACAGTATGTAAGCACATGCTATTTTTAGTTTTCCATACCTGAGGCTCAATTGCATGAGTATTCACAATGACACGCTTAATATCAGGGAGTTCAGTGTAGTGCTGCATAAAGATCAAAGAAGCATGGTTGAAATTTGAACAAGAAAAATAAATAAAAAAGTAATAATAAAAGAAAGTAAAGCTACAAAGGAAAAATAATTAAAAAATTAACAAAAAATGAGAAGAATATAACCTTCAATGCTTGCACATAAAGACCAGCTTTTTCACAAAGTTGAGCAATTCGAGGACGATCATAATGGCTAAACATTCCATTTGCTAAAATTGCATCAGCCACGTTTGGAAAAGTGACAAGATTAATCTCTAACACCTGAATAGAGATTTTATGTCATCGTGATGCTAGAACCAAGACATGACTAAACCAATGCAAGTTTCATAGCAATTATATCACAAGATACAACCTTTGTTTGCAGATAACCATGCTCTGGAAGGTTTGGTTTTAGAACATCCAGTAAAAATGCTGTAGCCTCACGGATCAGGTTCCTCTGATAAAATATGAAAAATATCTTGTTAAAAATTAAAATTGTTGCCTCGTCGAAGAAAAAGCTTTTTTTCATGCATAGAGCATTGATTTTGTGTGCCAAACATCAATATTTATGAAATAACCTGAAGAAACAGATCAGTTATTGTGTTGTAATCAACAGGACAACCTCCCTCCATTTGAGACATCATGAGGGCAAAATTTACAGCTCCCTGCAATATGAGATAATAAGTTTGTTTATCTATATCCAAAAAATGAAGCCGTAACACAGTAATCCCATCTTATTATCTGCTTCAGTGGAAATAGAAAGGTTCTGAATCACGCCAAAACATTTTAATACTTCCTTCGTTCTTTAATTCTTGCAACATTGTGATTTTTGCACTATTCACAGACCTTACTTTGACCACGATTTTCTACTAATATACATAATCTAATTATTACGTATAAAATGTTATTGAATTCCTATCAATGTGAATTTCCAAAATATCAACTTTTTATAATGTTTACTAATACATAATTAAATATAATTACAGTCAAAGTTGTGTGTTGGCAAACGTGAAAGTCAAACTATTGCAAGAATTAAAGAACGGAGGATAGTATTCATTATCAATTCACTATAGCAGCTCACTAAGGGTAAACACAAAACACTGTCACTGGCAGATCATCATCATCATTACCCCAGTGCCGCAAAGGCTCCCCCCACCTACGGTGGGGTGGGGGGGGTCGGATGTACGCAGTCTTACCCTTGTACTAAAGCACGAGAGACTGTTTCTGGGTGACCCATAGTTATGTAACTGGTAGATGATTAAAAATTTCATGGGCAGCACTAACAGAAAGAGGAAAACAGATACGCATTATGCATATTATGTGCCCAAATCACAGCACATGGTTTACCTGTGGATCCGATCTGAGAATTGTTTGCAGAAGGAAAAGATAGTCAGGTGTATATCCAACCTGTAAACAGAATAAAAAAAATCAATGGACATTCTTATTTATGAGTGTGGAAGCAAAAATGTATCCACCTAAACACTTGAGATGACTCATGAGAGAATTGAGCTCTTACATTGACAAATTTAGAGATAAACAAATTCAAGTGAGCGAAATTCCAGGAACACTGTGACCTAAATGGTGCCACTAACCTGTTTAGAGTATATCAAAATCTTGTCAAACTCCCGGCGCTCGGCGAAAGCTGCAACAACTTTTGGAGTTGCTCTTGCTTTGATGTATATTTTCAACGCCAGGTCATTATCCACAGTCTACAAAGGTTTTATTATTAGAGATTTAGAATAACAAAAAAATGCCATAATGTTCAAGTCTGCAAGGTTTGGAATAAGAGTAGCATAACAATATAAAACAAAACAATATAGAGAAAAATGAACTTAAAAGTGGAAAGCGAAGATCACTATAATCCAGGTATAATGTTGTGTTATGATAACCTTCACTAAGTCCCCAAGTTCCTCACTGCACTCCAGCTTATCTTCTGCCAACCAGTTCTCCAAGAGGTTCTTTTTGTTCTGGTTGACAACAAGGCGTGAAAGTTCCAATGACTCAAAGGCATTGAGTTTTCCTCTAGTTAAAAGTGTCCCAAAGTACTGAAGCAGTGGTGGAGTTTGTCCTGCTTGAACGGGAACACTCTACAAACAGTAAAATAATACTTATGAGTAATGCAGCATAGCCAATAACCTTTGATCTTATTTTTGCCAAGGGAATAATTGGATTATAGCTATGCTACACGGAAATCATGCTAGACTGCAGCAGTTGTGTGGTGAAAGTTGAATGCTGAAAATGGAGTACCATTCTAAAATGGCCAAGATCATGGATAAGTGTGACTACGAGAAAGGCGGTATATTATGTATAGCATATAGTGAGACATACCATAAATATACTATGATGAGTGCCATATCATAAATATACTACAATGGGCCATACGCCGATACCATACACACAGTACAGTGGGTGACATATCATAAATATTAGGGAGTATACCACAACAGGAATACCATAATTTATACTGCAATGTGAGTCATATTAGAAATGGATTGATCATAACAGAGCAAAAACTAATGCCTGTTTAGGACACATTGCAAGAAAATCAATTAGGATCTCGTAGAAGTGTTTAGTTTGCCCCCACGGATGGCCAATTTAATAGGGTGACAGCATGGTAGTGATGGAGATATATAAGTCATACAAAAATGTATATTCAATATTATCAATGTATTATCATGATAGATATTATACTACTGTGTTGATTGTGAGCATTAAGCATTTGATAGGTTCTAGCGGCGATATAAAATCGACAATGCTGAACTAAATAATGTTGTACCCGAGCTTAATTTGAGCGACTGAAAAAATTACCTGGAATTTGGAAACGGTGTCAGAAGTGCGAAGGATGCCTTGAGGAGATTCTGCAGCAAGCTCAGCCGCATCTTTGTACTTAGCCTGAGCAAATAACTCTTGGAAACGCTGAACAACCTGATATATTTAAGAAGTGAAAAGTATTATCCCATTGAACATTTTGTTTTTTAGGATGGAGTGACATTTCAAAAACTCAAAGGACCAATGTGAAAAACATCAACTGACCAAATTCTCAGCACCAGGAAGGTTTCCTCTCTTGGCGAGATTAACAGCAAGCTCCAGATTATTCAACTGCAAATACATAGAAATTTATTTATAAATACACAGTAAAATTTGTGTCATATTTCTAATACTAGTAGTAGGATAACAAGAAACGAGTTCACCTACTTGGCCACTAACAAAGGGCACAAGTGTTAATTCATTTACTGTGGCAAGCAACACTTGGCCTCGCCTGTTGATAGCATAGAAACCCCCCACAGAAGAAGCTTCTGCCGTCAAAAAAATAGGGTCTGGGCTGATCCTATTTCTGTATACCGCAGTAGCAGTTTCAAGATCATAAACAAATAAAAGTCCAAGCTTTGTAATCACATAAATTAAACTGTATTTCTGTGATATCTGCAAAAACAAAACAAGCATGTTACCGAATAATTAGTCTATTACATGCCTAGAATATTTGTTTTCTGTAAAAGGGATAATAAAATATACCTGCATTGCGACTGGGAAATCATCAGCAAAGTCAGGAGGAAAGAAAAGGTCAGCCTGTTTCTTTGTGAAGGACGGTTTTCCTGAGTAGAGCAGTAACACACAGATGAGCATAAGAATTAGTAAAAACATTGTAAAAATGCATAGGGCAGTAAGTGTTCCGCCTTCTCAGATTCATTATTAAGCAAGGGGTGGGGTTAGGGTAGATAGAACGAAGTTCTGCACTTCTGCCACACTAAAAACTACCAAAAAAGTTCTCATAATAGAAATTACAATCCTAAGGATTATATTGAAGGTATGATAGAAAAACCTGGTTGGGCTCCAAGCTCAATGACATGCAACTTTGATGTAATCTGACCAGCATTTGAGCTTTTTGTTGCAAAAGCGATCAGAATAGAGTCCTTGTCATTTCCTGTGACCTGTGCACATGATAAGCACCAGTTAACCATAAATGTGGAGCCACTGGTAAAAAAACAAGGATTTGCAAGTTGTTTTTCTCACTCTAAATGTGGCAAATGCCGCAGCATGAGATTCAAGAGCTTGACTGCGTTGCTGATCCACTGAGAATAGTTGCATGTTCCCTTTGACGAGCTGAGGCCTCTGTTCACACAAACAGTATTGGATTTGTTGAAATAATGTGAGGCTGTTGTACATGATATACGGACCATAGAAAAATTTTCCTACAAATCATGGTTAGCCTTTCTTGACAATGTAAAACAAACCTCTGGTGATCCTGGGGCAATCCCAATCAGGACCAACCATTTCTCTGTAGGATCACATCTGTAATTGATTATTTGGTTGTTTGTCAAATTTGCTGTTCTATCAAACATCTTTACTGGCTCGGAATCACCTAACAATGCCACAGTCAGTTTAGAATAACTAATCTAGACAGGTAGAGGACAACATAATAAGACAAAAACATAACATACCTTCAATATGCCAATGATAAACAGAGGTTTGGGTGACTAGACCTAGCAGCTTTGGTGTAATCCATTTCCAGAAAGCAACCTATACCAAAAGTGCATTGAATGCAAGCCTCAAGTCCTCAACAGTCATAATAGTTTGGATGAAAAAGCAATGGGTAATCTATGCTGTTCAGTAAAAAACAAATATTAACTAATAAGGTACAAAAATACCATTTCAGGCATCTGGTGTGACTTAATTTTTTGTTTTGCCTCAATATTAAATATTTGTAAATGATCTTGACTGGTTCCTGAGACTTGAGCTGCATAAAATGATAGAAGTACATGTTCATAAATAGAAATTCATGCATTTAAAATGCCAAATCAGCTATTCTCTACATAGTTATTTACGAGACCCCTATAACTAAGTGTAGAAACAAAATAGGAATTGGCAAAAAACAATAACTTCCCTTGCTCCCATAATTAATCAATATATATGTTACTCCTTATTCCAGAATGAAGTGATAAACGAATTCCTCCAATTCTAAGATATGAACCTCAAAAAAGTCAATCAGAATCAGCAACAGTGATAGGCTCTCCTATATAGTTATCATCTCCTATGTAAAAATCTCATATTCTTGTGAGCATTCAATTAAACCACAACTTGGGTGTTTCTCAGTACATTCTCTAATTTGGTTTTTTCACATGTACAACCAAATGAAAATTCAATCACAATCAGCACCAGTTATATGTTCCTATATGGTTAACCTTTCCTATATAAAAAGACCCCATCTTCTAATGAGCGTTCAATTAAACCACAACTTATGTGTTTCTATGCCACCAGTTTTGTAATTTGGTATTTCCACATGCATATAGCTTTTTCCCACTAGATATAAGTGTTTCTACCATATAGAGAATATGACTGGGACAAATAACACAGAATAAACTTACAATCTCAAATGAAAATCTCACGCATTTATCTATTTAATTCACAAATGTATGCAATTCCAGTAACTTGTATAGATGATCGAGAATCTAATAAACAAAAAAGAATCTTAATCAAGATCAGATACCTTTCAAAGCCAAAATTCTCGAATTAGGATTCATAAGAGCTGAATCTGCTGTAATAGGCCTTCTTAGAGGCTGCATTGGCATGTTCATGTCTATTATCACCACACTGTTTTGAGGTGAAGTCTCCCTCACGCAGATGAACTTGTCGGATTCCATAGTGACATTCGTAAATGTGATGAACTGTGGATTAACCCCAACGCTTGATAGCTGCATAACATAAATCGCAAAATACAAACTTCAATAGCAAGCTTCACGCATACATCATGCCTCCTAATATAAAGTCTACTGATTCACAGATCTGATATTTGCTACACGCCGCAGATCTAAATAGCTTCTGTTCCAGATTTGTCAAGCAACGACTAAAATATCAAGTAATCAGAAAGCTAAACTGCATCGCGATATCTAAGATAACAATCAGTTACTCCGTATTACTTAATAGCGTAACATAGCCGAGAAATGTGATCTGAAATTCGCTTTAAGGCAATAAGGGGGGCGCTTAAGCAGAAATGACATAGTAATTCGTTACCGTGACAGCCTCCTTCATGGTGATCGGAGCGTTAGCGGCCGCCATGGCAGTAGCGAAAGCGGAGCTACCTGCCTGCAAATCAAGTGGAAGTCGCCGAAAGACGTTGAAAATGTGAGTGGTTTATTGCAATCGGGAAGAGATCGCAGAAGATGCGAACCCTCCAAAAGAATAAATTTCGTTCTCCGGGACAAAGAGAGAGGGAGATCTAAAATCTAAGAGTAAAAAGAACTTTTGCGAGGGCAATGTCATTAGAGAGTAATAATCTCTCGGCTCTATGGTAAAGCAAGTATACGATTAATTAATTAATAACGAGTGATCATAATGCTCCGTGATAGATGATAAAAATGATAATTGTAACGGAATCCTCGACAGTAAATGAAATTAGAGAGATTTTAAGAGTTTGGGTGAAACTTGTGAGGATTATTTATTTATTTCTCTTATCGTTCAGAAATGATCAACCCAATAACTCAATATTTATTAGTCATAAATCAGAAAAGTTCCCAAAATATGAGTAAGTGGGTTTTAGAATTTCAAATAAGACTGATATGATTTAGTTCTCGAAATATGAGTAATACGAAAGTATTTACTATTATCTTGTATTCATTAACTAGTTTTTGTAATGCGCGTTGCGCGATTGGGATAGTGCCCAATGTATATGTTGTGTACTACGTAGTATAAAATTGTAATTTATTGTGTTTTACTTGGAAAAAAAAATATCATTTGAAAAGCATGTCTTATGTGATGATTTTAACCGGGCTTCACAAGTTGTCTATAATGTTATCAACAACACCAAGTATTTTTAACCTGACACTCCCTTTGTTGACCAATGATTGTATGGCTTCATTAATATTCAAAGTCAGAGTTTTGCAATACACATGGAGGTTCTCATGTTAGTTGGAATGCTCACTCTTTTTAATTTGCAAGTCCTAAACATTAGTACCCCATAAGGAGTTTAAATAAAGAAAAAAAATTACTATCTCTTGAAGGATAGTCTTTATTTCCTATAGACATTTTTATGGGCCTCAAGTTGTGCCATTTTATGTGAAGCTCTAAATTTTTCCAACTTGCTTCTGCAAGCTTAGCATCAACTGTGTGAAATTTTTCTTGCACTTCAAGTTGTTCTTGAGCTCTTGCTCTAAAAAGCATGGGCATATGAAACTTTGGTTTCAGGTGCGAACTTGATTTGTTTATATTCTATATGTGTATGTCTCTCTCAAAGCCTTCAAAAGCTACATACAAATATAAAAATCTGCAGTAAACAAGCACTTAATCCCAAGGATGCTAACAAGGTAGCCAATAGTTCTTTCAAAAGAAGACTAAAAAGCTGAATATTAATTAACTTTAGATGCCAAAATATTTATATTACCCAAGTCTTCTTGTAAAATTCAACAATCATACAAGCATATATAACAACGCAACATTAGCACATTGAAAATCTGAATAAGAAAGGATCATTGAGAGCCCGTTTGGTAACACTAAAATTGGCAGAATTAGCTGATCCTGCTGAAATTTATAAAGTTATGGCTGAAGTGACTGTATTGCCTGATTCTGTTGATTCATGAAAAATATATATTTAAAATATTGGTTATTAATAAATTAAATAAAAATTATATGAAAAAATAGCTAAAATAATCATCTACACTAACTTCAGCCAATACAACCAGAAAATTAACACTAACCTTATTTTTTCTGCTTATAAGAAAATTTGGCACGCGAAATCAAAAAGTTACATGTTTGATGAAAATACTGGCCGATAAGCCGAAAAAGGGGTCTCCAAACGGGTTCTGAAATGGAAAAGATTTGAAAAGGGGATGAATTATATATAGCACGTGGCATATGTTTTCTCACCATTTTCTTCATGTGTGTTGCACGATTAGCTAGCTCAAAGCCAAATATTAAATTACTTTTTTCACTAGTAGAAATTGATAACAGGACTTCCTACTTGTAGAATAGTTATAAAATTTAAATAATCATACAATGATGTAATATCTAATGATTGCCTCACTAAAATGAAGGAAAAGAAAATGTCATTAATTCATAATCAATCATATATTTTTTATCAAGGTACGCAACATACCCTTTGTAATTAAAACTTATTTTGATGGATAAAAATAGATTAATGTTGGATTTCGTAATCTCATAAGACTGCCCTGAACAATCACTCAAATCCCACCATTTCATCTTTGCAACATTCAAACATAATGCGGATGATGTGAAAAGAATTCTGTAACAACATTTAATTAAAGAGGTCTATTAGGATGTAATTCATATTGAAGAATTGCGGATAATTAACCTTAATCTATTGAAGGGTAAGGCCAGTAAAGTAATGAGTTACTTTAAGGTTGTACTAACGGAAAAATATGAATCGTTTGTTCCCAAAAGTAAACCCTGCAAACCTAGTACAATACTTAAATCACACGGTACACCCTCATATAACAATAAAGTTACACCAACAAATTTTTCATACCCAAAAGGGTATTAACCCTCATTCATCTTTATTAGTTTGTAGAGATGTCTTATAGTTGCAGTACTAGACATTAAATGTGACAATATTTACTATTATTAATGACTATATTTTTCAATATCTCTTATTAATCCGAAATGATCATCCAGATCAAATTACACAATATTAGTCATAAATTGGGAAAGTTCTCGAAATATGAGTAAACGAGTTTTGGAATTTTAAAATATGATTGTTATGGTTTTCTTACCGAAATAGAAGTAACATGGCGGTATTTATTGTTATCTTGTAGCCATTAATGTCAAATAGTTGCAATACTAGCTATTTAACATGACAATGTTTACTATTAATAATAACACTATTTTTCAATCATAGCAATACTAACTCCTACTCCGGGGAAAAACACAGTAGTCTTTTTGAAATTCCAAAATTTATTTACTCATATTTAGGCCAATTTCCCTTATAAATTTGTATCAATGTAGACATGTTTTGCCTCTTCGAACTCGGACAAACATTTACGAAGAAAATCAAGCCTTATGGGCCTTGACTGAGACTCTGAGAGCATACTATGGATGTAGTGGGATGAGTGAAGACAATAAATGAATAAATGCATGCTGGTGGAACATTAGGGTCGTCGGGTCGAGGAATAGGAGTTAGGAGAAGATCGGTCAATGATTGATTTTGAGATAGTCTACTCAAAAAATGGGACCGAGTGAGTTCTGGTTTGTAGCCCCGTCGGGGAGCTTAAAGATTCAAACTTTGCCCTTTCATTACTTTATGTTTTGTTTTTCTTTTAGTTTTCAGACATAGTCGAGTCTTTGTCTTTGTTGCGTGTTAGGTATGTTTACTTTGGATTGTGAGTTGTTTTTTCTTGTAATAGTTGGAAGGCATGGGGGCGGTGAATTGGGAGACAGGTTCAAAACTTTAGTCACTATAGGATTTCTTTTGCTCGCTTCGTGGTGAGTCAACTTGGTTTATGATGGCATTTAACTCTGTCTAATCCTAGAGCTTGTAACCGAGTTTGGGGTTTCTGTCTCGATATTTATCTACGAATTCTAAATATCTTAATATAAGCCTTGTACATTCAAAAAAGATACTCCGAGCTTTGTAAACATTGTTGCACTAGAGTAGATCTGTCGTTGATTTGATCGTATGTGCCTGTTACTGAGATCGGGAAGAATACAAAGAACTTATACGTTAAACGCTCTACACTCTTACTTTGTTCTATTCTAGCTCAACATAATAGTGATAACTTTTATATTGCTATGATATTAGAACCAATGGCAACCCTCTTTTCCAATAAAGAGTCATGTGTGTATTTTGATCCTCTTAATGGTCAAGACCGTATGGCATTCTCTTATTTGTCAAACGCATGTCATTTTTATATGTACATACACAAAATTAATCACAACTTGTAAGGTAATCACTTCAAATCAAAAGCAAAGCTTCAAATTAATAAAACAAAGAAATGTAGGATGACTGCCTTTTTTTGGGCCGTGTAAGAGGATTACCTAAAAGGCTAGAATAACAACCTGGGTTTAAGTCCTGATAATTATAAATTAACTTTTTTGTTATAACTTCTAAGTTAACTATAATTTAACTTTTTAAACTAATTTTGTAGTTTCCATTTTTAATTCGAAAATTCAAGAACAAAGAAAAATGGTTGTTGGGATATTAGGCCCAGGCTCAAATGCCCAGGAGGCCCAATCCGCATACGGACCCAATTGCAGCCTAACTGCAGTCCAACCAATACAGGAAGCCCGCTTGGTCGTCCAGCCCAGGTAGCGTTGTCCGGCCCGATTCCCCCACATGGGCCTCGTCACTTGTTTCAGCATCTGTCCAAGGCCGAACTCTCCCAAACAATTGACGAGAAACTTGGAATTAACAGGCAGTACATTTAATGCAACAGATATGGAAGATTTTATGGTTGCGGTTGAGCACATCACCCCTCCACCTACTACTTTGTATTATAAATAGTAGCATTTATTTCATTGCAAAATGTTGACAAACTTGTATACTTCGTGATACACTTCTCTCTAGTTCTTCGGTAGTCTTCAACTTGGTCTAAGGGGTCAGAGCTTGGGCTCGACATACGTGTTGTAATCGTTCTAAAAACTTACTAGAAATGGATTCGAGTTGCCTCTAACTTATTTGCTATTATTCTGCCTCTTTTTTGCTGCCCAATCGTTCTTCCGGAACGTAACGGAAGAACAAAAATTAACGTTATCTGTAGAAGATAGGATTTTCGGACGGCATTCGTGTCTGCAGGTCGCCCGCGCACGCAAGTCGCGCTTTTTGTTCTTCGGTTTCGGGATTTGATTCGCACCCCCCCTGCGCGCATGAGAGAGCCTTTCCCTTTAGGAAGCTTAACTCCTTAGGGGGGGTTTCCCTTTATAAAGGGTTCAAATTCCCTTGTGAATTTTCGGTGTGGGAAAATCCCACACTAAAACCCATCTTTTCCTAGTTTTCTCCATTCCAACGGGTAAACTTCGAAAAGCGATTTCTCATTCACCCGTTATCCGTTTTTGAGCGTACCATATATCGAATTGTAGCCCTAAGCAAGGATAATCCGAAAACACTTTGACCCAACCCAAATCGAAAGTGGACCCCACTCAAAAATTGTCCCAAAATGGCCATTTAATGCAATTTTAACACACCTTTTCCAACAATATTTGAATACAACATATACTACGGTATAGAAGATTTTAGTAAAAAGGTATTTAATTTAATTTAATGATGACAAAAAATTAAAAAATGATTCAAAGTTAGGAGCACATATTAGAATACTTGAATACAACATATACTACGGTATAGAA